TCCTCCTGTGTGGAGGCCCAGGCCAGCCGGGACCTCGCCAGGAGGGGCCGGGCTCCTCATCACGGGGCACATCAGCAGGTACATCGGCAGGTACGGCCAGGTGTCCCCAGGCCCGCCCCTGGGCTGCCGGGGCGTCCCTCACCCGGGGCCACGCGTCACGCACGCACGCACCTGACCCTGCTCACCCACAGCCACACCCAGGCCCCGCCCTGGTGGTGGTGAGTGTGCTTGCGCGTGGGAAGGGAGGCAGCCTGGCAGTGTGGGGTGGAGGATGATAACCACAGACAGCTGAAGTCAGGGCCCCGGCCCGAGAGGCGTGGCGCACTGGCCTGTGAGGTGACGAATTGGCAGAGGACCCCGAGGTTCAGACTGCACGAGCCTTCAGCGGGGGCCACACGGCACAACTCGGAGGAAACCCAAGGGGAGACCCTCTTCTGCCCCAGAGCTGCCCTGTGAGGGCCACACTGGTGTGTCTGGGCAGCGGTTACGAGGCTTCCCAGAGGGGAGCGACCAGGGAGAGCCGTAGGTAAGGCATGGGTAGGTAGCACCGTCTACTTCACCCTGATGCCACATTTTGATTCCTAGCCAGAAAGACATCCCTTCTCCCCTCCCCCAAAGTAGGCTACCTCGGGTGCTTTGAAGGGCCTGGCTTCACCCAGCCAGCAGGGAGCTCATGCCAAAGCCACCCACCGCCCCCAGACGACCATGCCCCCTCTCAGCGTGCAGCAGCCCGCTGGGCACCAGAGGGCACCCCCACCAGCACAATGCACAAAGGCATTGTGCCTGGCAGGCTGGCTGCAAGGGCAAGTGCGGGGCTGTCAGCAGGTGTCATCTTCCTCCGCCTGCAAGGAGGGGCTGTGCGCCCCTCCCCCACCCTATCGCCTCCTCACCCCCGGGTAAAAACTACCCACAGGCCTCACTCCCAGGGCCAAACCCTGGGACCGGCAACAGGGCAGGGGCACAGCAGGGTCCCCTGGCCGCGGGGCCTCCAGAGGCTGTGTGGCACCCACCGAGGTCTGCGTGGCGTGGGCACCCACGCAGGCAGCAAGAGGCAGAGCGTGTGACCCGGACAGCAAGATTAGGCCAGCTGTCTCCCCGTCCAGACAGCCGCCGGCTGTGCACAGGACATCTGCTCACACAGCTGAGGGGCACCAGGTGGTGGCCGCTTCCTCCTCACCTCAGATCCCAGCAGAGAGCTGCTGAACGCTACTCCCCATCCCCCCGGGAGCCCACAGACCCCGGCCCTGGCGTCCAGCTAGGACACCACATCAGGGGCCTAGGGACAGAGACAGGGCGCGCGCAGGCTGTGGTGAAGATGCCAGTACAGAGTGGAGAGGGGCGCCCACTTCTCCCACCTGCCGCTCACGCCTGCACGCACGGCCCCGAGCCGGGAGCAGCTGGGCCCCACACAAGGAGAGGCCAGGTGCCAGACCTGCGCTGCTCACCTCCAGTGTTCCCGGGAGTCACAGAAGCTGTGGCCCACTCGATCCTTCCAAAGCCTGCAAGCCCTCCTCCTCCGCCGCCCCCCACCCCATCTTCCCTACCCAGGGCCAGGTCTCACCTGCCAGGCCAATTCCAAGAGGCCTCCCAACTAGGTCTGGCCCTGCTCTCTAATCCCCACGGCTTCCTGGGGTGTCTGGAGCTGGGGAACCCATGCAGAGCAGCTGCCTACAACTTCCAGTCTGTGACTTCCTCAACTCCTGCCCACAACTATTAACTCAGGAAGGACCTGACCCTCGGCTAAACCCTTCCCGGCCTGGACTGTCCCCAGAACACGTTTGTGTCAAGCCACCATTCAGCCCAGCGGTCTGTACCTTCAGACCTCCTGTCCTGCAACTCTTTCTGGCCTTCTCTGACCCCAGCAAGGACAAGCTAAATGTTCCTATCAGACAGGGGTACACGGATCAAGCACCGGGGCCCAGGATCACACACAGGGACAAGGGGTAGGCTAGTCCCCTGGCCTGCTCATCCAAGCAGTCTCCCTCAGGAAGTTCCCTGAACACCCACAAAGGCTCTTGCAGACAGGAACACACACACACACACACACACACATCAGAAGCTAGGCACAAGACAGCTACCTGAAGATGTCACCTCTGTGTGTGTGGAAATGAGAGTGCATCTGTATACTGAATAAGAGATAAAGTTCTCTAGGGACAGATCCAGACTATTTAAAGTGCTCTTGCAATTTAATAACAAAAGACAATCTGACTAAAAATACAGGCAAAGAAATGGAATACATGCTTCTCTAAAAGCCACAAATAGCAAAGCTACAAATAATAAATAAAGCTACAAATAGCAAATAGCTATTTGTATTGCTACAAATAGAAAAAAAGCCCACAAAATAATATTCAACATCATCAATCATCAAGTAAGTGTAAATCAAAACCACAACGAGATACCTCATCAAACCTACTATGAGGAGTAGAATTAAACTGGTGATAATGTGGAGAAACTGGAACCCTGCACACTCCTGGTGGAAATGTAACATGGTATGTTACTTGGGGAAAGAGCGAGTGAGCCGCTCAAAAGGTTAAACATGGAATTACCACAGGACCTGGCACTTCATTTCTAGGCATGTACACCCAACGAACTGGAAGTATACTTTCACACAAGGGGAAAAAAACTTAGTCACCAAATGTTCACGGCAACATTTGAAAAAATAAAAAGCAAACAGTGGAAACAGCCTATCAACCAACGAGCATTTTTCGGAGCCTGTAGAACAGTCATCCAATCGAGTGTAATCCAGGCACAAAAAGGAGTGAAACTGCTTTGCAGTACACATGGATAAAGCTAAAAAAATATGACTCCGAGTGAAGAAAGCCAGACACAAAAGGCCACATAGTATATGATTCCACTTATGTGAAATGTCCAGAGTAGGAAGGTCCGCAGAGACAGAAAGGTTGGTGGTTGCCAGGGGCTGAGGAGGGAGCGGGGCGTGGCTGCGTGGTGGGTATGAGGTTTCTGGGCTGAGGAAACTGTTCTGGAATTAGATAGTGGGGATGGCTGTACAGTCTGTGAACACACCAAAAACCGCGGCGCTGAGGGAATCTCCCGGGAGTAAGTTATATGCAGAACAAAAAGGGCCTCTGGGGGCCAGAATATTACCAGAATATTACCACCACCACCCCACCACCCCCGGGGTCCGGAGTCCGAGCCCCGCGGAGACCTGGCTGAGCAGCCTGCCCGTGATGCCGGACGAAAAGGAGAACTCTACCCCGGGGTTACAGCGTGCCTGCGGGGCCTCAGAAAGCGGTGGAAGCCCGGGTCCCCCGGGGGGGCGCTGCGGGGTGGGGAGCCCGGGTCCCCCGGGGGGCGCTGCGGGGTGGGGAGCCCGGGTCCCCCGGGGGGCGCTGCGGGGCGGGGAGCCCGGGTCCCCCGGGGGGCGCTGCGGGGTGGGGAGCCCGGGTCCCCCGGGGGGCGCTGCGGGGCGGGGAGCCCGGGTCCCCCGGGGGGCGCTGCGGGGTGGGGATTCCTGGGGACGGGCGCGGGGCGGGCGCTGCGGGGCGGGGAGCCCGGGTCCCCCGGGGGGCGCTGCGGGGTGGGGATTCCTGGGGGCGGGCGCGGGGCAGGCGCGGGGCGGGCGCAGCTCCCTCCGGCTCCCGCCTGCGGCTCCTTCACACCGGGGCGGAGATGCGGAGGCCGGCGGCCTGCCCCGGCTAGCCCCCGCGCAGGCCCAGGGACGCAGCGGTCAGCAGCCTGGAGCACCAGATGGAAAGGCCACCTGCTGACCAAGCCCGGGCGCGGCCGGCCCGCGGGGGTCCGGGCGGGCGGGGTGGCCGAGGCCTCGGAGGGAGGGGCGGCCGGGTTGGGTTGCAGCTGGGGGGGGAGGGCTCCTGCCGCCACGTGACCTCCCCGGGGCCAGCTCTCCGCCCGGGCTCCCGGGCTGTAACCGGAGCCGCGTTCCTGCCGGGAGCCTCCGTGCCAGGCAGGGCCGCGGGCGGGGGAGGGGAGGGCCCTCCGGCTGGGCGGAGGCCGCCCGCGCCCACCGGAGCGCCCGGCCCCAGCTCCGGCTCGGGCCGTGGCTGCCTGTCCGGACTCGGGGGAGCCCGGGGGCTCCCCTCCGCCCCGCCCGCAGACCAGCGGGGACAAACATCACGGCCCGGCCTCTCCGCGGGGCGCGGACCCCAGTACCTGCCAAGGCGCGGGGCAGCCCCGCTCCCCCGCCACCCCGCCGGGCCCGGGAGCGGAGCCCCGCGGGCGGGCGGGCAGAGGGGCGCAGCAGGCGGCGAGCTGCGACCCACGGGGACCCGGGCCGACCCTGCCCGGCGAGGCTCGGGGCAGGACCGCCCCGGGCCGGGGCGGGGCCGCGCTCCGTGGGGAGCGGGCGGGGCGGGCCTGGCGGGACAGCCCGGGCGTGGGCAGAGGGAGCGGGGAGGACACACACAAAGGGGCGCCCGCCCGGAGAACAGGATACACCTGCGGGCTCCGGTGCCCGGCGCCCCGCCCCGCCCCGGCCCCGCCTCTCCCCGCCGCCGGCCGCATTCCTGGGCCGACGGGGCCCTCTGCCGGCCGGGCGCCGCGCCGGCCCGGCCGGAGCACGGAACAGGTGACAGGGAGCGGCCGGGGCGGCGGGCCCGGGCGGCGGGCGGGCACCGGGGACGGCGGGGCGCTGCCCCGCTCGGGGCCACCCGCGCCCAGCGTGCCCGGCGCGGCGAGGGTCGCCCCTAACGGTCGGTACGGTGCGGGGGGGGGGGGGGCACCGAGGCCGCGGGAGCCGCCGGGCAGGGCGGGCGGCCGGGCTCCCGTCCGCGCTCCCAGGCCCGGCCCCGCCGCCCCGGGCGCGACACAAACAACGTCCCCGCCGCGGAGCCCCGCCCGCCCCGTCGGGTGGCTCTGGGCGGCGGGCGCGGGGAACCTCCCCGGAGCGCGGGCCGGTGGCAGGCCCGGCGGCTCCGACGCGGGACGGCCCGCCCCGGGGGTCACGGGGGCCGCGCCGCGCCCCGCGCCCCGGCGGGCGCTGCCCGGGGACCCCGCGCCGCCCCGGCCGCCGCGGCACCTACCCGAAGTAGGCGGACGAGGGGCGCAGCGCGGCGAGCAGCAGCGTCAGCCCGAAGGCGGCGGGCAGCCAGCGCGCCGGCAGGGGCCCATCCGGCATCTTGCCGCGCCGCGGCGGCCGACCATCGCGCTCCCGGCTCCGCGCAGGGCGCGCCGCGGCCGCCGCCCTCTTATAGCGCCCGCGGCGGCGGCCGCGCGCCGGCCGGCCCGGCCCGATCCGCCCCGCGCCGGGGGCGGGGCCACGCCGGCGCCGGGGCGGGCCGAAACCCGAGCCGCGCGCCGCTCCCGGGCGGGCCCGCGGGGCCGGAGGGCGGGGACGGCGGGGCGCGCGCGGCCGTGGGGACCCGCGCCAGTGGGGGGCCCGGATCCCCGCGGGGGGGAACGGGCAGCGGCAGCCCCGGGCCGGAGCGCGGGGGACGGGGACGGGGAGGGCGGAGCCTGGCGCGGGGGCGGGGAAACCGGGGCGACGCGGGCGGGCGGGACGGGGAGGGGGCGGGGCATGGGAGGAGGGGCGGGGCGACGCGGAGGGCGGGGCGTGGGGCCAGGGAGGGGCGGGGCGTCGTAGAGGGTGGGGCGGGGAGGGCGTGGCGCGGAGGGGGGCGGGACACGGAGGGGTAGGGCGGGGCTACGTAGAGGGCGGGGAATGGGAGGAGGGGCGGGGCGTGGGAGGGAGTGGGGGGGCGACGCTGAGGGCGGGGTGTGGGAGGGGCGGGGCGACGCGGAGGGCGGGGCGTGGGAGGGGCGGGGCGACGCGGAGGGCGGGGTGTGGGAGGGGCGTGGGAGGAGGGGCGGGGCGACGCGGAGGGCGGGGTGTGGGAGGGGCGTGGGAGGAGGGGCGGGGCGACGCTGAGGGCGGGGTGTGGGAGGGGCGTGGGAGGAGGGGCGGGGCGTAGGAGGGGCGGGGCGCGGAGGGCGGGGCGCGGGGGAGCCCGCGGGTGTCACCGCGGGGACGTCTGCGGGACTGACCGGGAGCTGGGCAGCCCGGCGAGGAGGGCTCGGAGCGGGCATGGAGGGCGCCGGCGTGGGAGGAAGGGCGTGGGGCTCCCGGATCCGCGTTCCCAGCGCCGCCCGTGACCGCCCCGGCCTCCGCGTGGTGTCGGCCCCGTCACTCGGGGACCCAGGCCGAGGACGCGTGGCCGGGCGCTGGGCCGCTGCGAGTCCGCCAGGCCCGGCCCGGAGCCCCGGCCGCCCCGCTCCGCGCTGAGACGGAGCCGCGAAAATCCTCGGCCGCCACCGCACGGGAGGGCAGAGGAAGACGACGAGCGCCGCGACCCCCGCGTGCGCGCCACCCGCGACCCCGCGTGCGCGCCACCCGCGACCCCACGTGCGCGCCACCCGCGACCCCACGTGCGCACCACCCGTGATACCCCACGTGCGCGCCACCCGCGACCCCACGTGCGCGCCACCCGCGACCCCACGTGCGCGCCACCCGTGATACCCCACGTGCGCGCCACCCGTGATACCCCGCACCACCCCACGTGCGCGCCACCCGCGACCCCGCGCGCCACCCGCGACCCCACGTGCGCGCCAGCCGTGACACCCGCGTGCGCGCCACCCGTGACACCCCGCGCCACCCGTGACACCCCAGACCCTGGACCACCTGTGAGAGACCCAAGCTGCTGAGCCAGAGGAGACGCCTGGGACAGTCACTTCCTGTCAGGGCTTTGGTTTCCCCACCTGCAACCCACCCGGCTCCAGGACTGGCGCCCTGTCAGAGCTGTGACGGCCAGCTCCAGCCGGGGTCCTCCCGCCGGGGTGCTGGTCTCCAGCTCCAGCCGTGGTCCTCCCGCCGGGGTGCTGGTCTCCAGCTCCAGCCGGGGTCCTCCCGCCGGGGTGCTGGTCTCCTGCTCCAGCCGTGGTCCTCCCGCCGGGGTCCTCCCGCCGGGGTGCTGGTCTCCTGCTCCAGCCGTGGTCCTCCTGCCGGGGTGCTGGTCTCCTGCTCCAGCCGTGGTCCTCCTGCCGGGGTCCTCCTGCCGGGGTGCTGGTCTCCTGCTCCAGCACCTCCTTCCTCTTGGTGTGACCAGTCTCGTGTCATTCTCCATTTCCAAATCCCCTGTGATGTCCTTTTCTTCTCACATCTTGTTCAGCCCCTTCATGGGGCTCCTGCTGCGAAAGGACACTTGAGGGGCCTTGATGTGGCCCCAGAGACTTCCATCTGCAGGCTTGGCCCCCACTCCAGGAGAAGCGGTAGGAAAGGGGTGGAGGAGGCAGGGAATGGGAGACCCAGAGCAAAGGTTAAAGATCCCTCCCAAGGAAAATGGTATGTGAGATTGTAAACGTGTGCCACGGGGCACCGCAGGGCTGCCATCCAGGGAGAGTGGAACTCCATCACCTCAGCCACCCAGGGAGTCCTGAGGATGGAGCCAGCCAGCTGAGGATCAGAGCTCTGGTCCAGCCCCCTCAGGCTGCAGGCTAGTCGTGGTGGCCTACCATCCATAGGCTCAGGAAGGGGTGTGCTTTCTTTTCCTCGAGGTATATCATGTCCTAACAAGGGGGGGTAGGTGCAGCCTAGCCCTCAGCAACCCTGGGGAGTTTGTGAGTGCCCTGAACCTGGGAAGATGTCCGCTGATGAAGGCCACTAACCAGTTCTCCCTCCTCGAAGTGGATCTCAGGAAACAACACTCCCTCTGCTGCAAGTCTTCAGCGCATGCCCCACAGTGCCTGAATTCCTCCCTAGGAAGTGGGTGACCGTCCTTCAAAGCATGGAAAATAGCAGGAGAACAACAATGCCTGACAAGAAATGGACTCATTACCTTCCTAATGTGCCTGTAGCCTTTGTACAGCATCTTTGAGAGAAAGTAATTTTTAAAAAAGTGTGGAGAGGCCAGATGCTAGCGGCTCACACCTGTGTCCTAGCTTCTCGGGAGACTGACATCTATGGATGAAGTTCAAAGCCAGCCTGGCAGGAAGGTCCATCAGACTCTGTTGTTGTTGTTGTTAATTGTTTTGTTCATCATGGGGCTTTGAACTCAGGATCTGGGCTCTGTCCCAGAGCTTATTCGCTCCAGGCTAGCACTGAACCACTTTGAGCCATAGCACCACTTCTCTTTTTTCTTTTGTCGGTCATGGGGCTTGAACTCTGGGCCTGGGCACTCTCCCTCAGCTCTTCAGCTCTTCAGCGGCAAGCGCTCTACCACTCGAGCCACAGCGCCATTTCTGGTTTTATGGTGGTTAATTGGAGATAAGAGTCTCTCGGACTTTCCTGCCCTGGCTGGCTTTTAACTGTGATCTCAGATCTCAGCCTCCTGAGTAGCTAGGATTAAGGTGTGAGCCACCCAGACATCTGTGAAATTCTTTATCTCCAATAAACTACCAAAAAACAAACAAACAAACAAAAAAAAGCCAGGAGTGAGTGTAGCTGTGGCTCAGGTGGTAGAGCATTGGAGCACAAAAGCTCTGGGAAAGTGCCCAGACCTGAGTTCCACCTCGAGTTCCGCACGTGCACACACGCACACACAGAGGCCAAAGTGACTCAGTTCCACACGTGCACACGTGCACACGCACACAGAGGCCAAAGTGACTCAGTTCCACACGTGCACACGTGCACACGTGCACACGCACACAGAGGCCAAAGTGACTCAGTTCCACACACGCACACACGCACACACAGAGGCCAAAGTGACTCAGTTCCACACGTGCACACACGCACACACACACGCACACACAGAGGCCAAAGTGACTCAGTTCCACACATGCACACGTGCACACACGCACACACGCACACAGAGGCCAAAGTGACTCAGTTCCACACACACACACACACACACGCACACACAGAGGCCAAAGTGACTCAGTTCCACACACACACACGCACACACAGAGGCCAAAGTGACTCAGTTCCACACGCACACACGCACACACGCACACACAGAGGCCAAAGTGACTCAGTTCTGCACGTGCACACATGCACACGTGCACACGCGCACACACGCACACACAGAGGCCAAAGTGACTCAGTTCCACACGTGCACACACGCACACACAGGCCAAAGTGACTCAGTTCTGCACGTGCACACACGCACACACAGAGGCCAAAGTGACTCAGTTCCACATGTGCACACACGCACACACACACACGCACACACAGAGGCCAAAGTGACTCAGTTCTGCACGTGCACACACACACACACACAGAGGCCAAAGTGACTCAGTTCCACACGCACACACAGAGGCCAAAGTGACTCAGTTCTGCACGTGCACACACGCACACACGCACACACAGAGGCCAAAGTGACTCAGTTCCACACGCGCACACACGCACACACAGAGGCCAAAGTGACTCAGTTCCACACGTGCACACACACACACGCACACACAGAGGCCAAAGTGACTCTCCTTTTCTCCCACAGGCCCTCGAGCTACCTGTGAGCCAGGTGGGGTGAAGGATGCGAGGCACCTGCCCTCTCACTGAAACACCCGCTCCCGCTCACACTCACCCGCAGGCACCCTCTAGCAAGTGCTCTCCTCCCCAGACTGCCACCATCAGCCCATCACCAGGGTGGGCAAAGGGGACTTGCACCACAGCACGTACCTCTGTACCCGTTTCCTGTGCCTTGGATGAAAGTAGATACAGAAGAGACAAACTCTGAGAGAAGGGCTTAGGATGGATGGAACAAGAGAGAGGAGGAGGAAAACATTGGGTTTTTAATGCTGGACGATATGATGCCCACAGAAGCCACCAAGCCCAAGCAAATGGAAGGTGGGTTATCTTCAGAGAGTTCGTGCACACACTGGCTAGGCCCCCTTCCTGTATGGAAGCTGAGTATGAGGGTTTGGTACCACTCAAGAGAAGCAGCAGCCAGGAAGACAAACTCCCCCCTCTCGCTTCCCCTAGCTTTTCTCAGCTAAACCCAATGCAGGTGAGTGGGCCTTGCATGTAGCGTAAGGAGGCTGACTCCCTGACAGGCCAACTTCATGCTCAGTGAGTACACGCTGCTCTGGCCAGTGGGCAAGCAGTCTCCCATGGGGCTTTCTTGGCCTGAAAGTCTGTCATTCCTACTGCAGCCACGCAGCAGTGATGCCATCTGAATGGGGGGGAGGGTCACGGTTAGGGGCCTTATACCAGGGTAACCATCCACTGGGAGCAGGTAACAATCTGATCTCTTGTGAACACTGGGCTCTGGCTCTGA